TGGGGATTGGTTGAAAAAATGCACCGATTCAAATCATTTTCAATAGCGTTCGCCCCGGGGCACAAACACGTTCGCGTACCAGATTGCATCAACATATCTGAAAAATCGGGACCTGATGCTTGAACACAAATTTAAATGGATAGACATCAGACAGATAGACAGGTCTAGATCTCATCATATATATGGGCGCTGATGAATCCTCAGCTCTTTTATGCCGACAAAGTCTAATTTGGAGGGTTTTATGACGGGACCAATTAAAAAATCATAAAACCTTTGGCCAATAGATTATGTTTGCTAAATTTCGACTATGTTAGTTGACGTTTTGCGCGTCCCCTAACGTGAGAGCTATGCCATTTTCGGTCTAATGATTTAATGAAAGCATTTGGCGAAGTTGTGTGAGGTATCTCGTAGTGGGCCCTGGGTCACGTTAATTTAAATTTATACTCACAACGCTCAGCGACTACTACTAAAAAAAAAAAGATGATTTTTCCGAGCGATGACTTTACTATTCGCTCTTTAATGGCCTTAATATATCCGCTTACCTTTATATATATGATGCAGCAGTGCTCGCAGTACTACAATAAGCAAATTATTAATGATCGTGGCCGACGCTAGCTTTTATTCGAGTTCGGCAATCGCTTGTAAAGCACAAAAATCAGTGATTCAGATTAAGAGAGAGCAGAAAATGAGTAGAGCGCGCGCGACCTAGAGAGGAACGATTTTAAGGTAATCATATCTTAGATATCAAGCAAAGAACAATTTTAACTAAACTTTCGTTCATTATTTTATCTCCATTTGATGATTGACTTTACACTTTTATGTATGTGTTTAACTGATCTTGAATTCGTTATGATTTCTTTTTTTCTTTTTTTTTTTTTGGTTATTTGAAAAACCTACAAACCGATATTAGCGTATAATCATTAATTTTGCCCTACATTGCTGGCCGAAATCGATGGATAAGAATTGAACAACAAATAATTATTGAACCTTTATTGGGAAAAGAACGAAATCACACAAAAGTGGAAAATGAAGATGATGAACAAAAAAAACTCAAATAAAAAAAAAAGAAGGGTAAAATGTTATGTTAAAAAAAAAAAACAGAAGGGAATAAAGGCTAATGGTGGCGGTATTTGCTAAAGTTTAGATTATGTGTGTATTCATATACATACATAAATATTTTTTTGGTAGACGCACACACAAATAAGAATGTTCAGTTGCATGTATAGATGATGGTATAAAGGAAAGAATTACACACATATATGTATTTATTAAAAAGTTGTGTTATTTTTGGTCATCATGTCTTCCGGTCGATCTCACGACGTTTGTTAAGGAAGAAATATTTATCTTGATATTGATTTTTTTTTTTTCGCTTCACAATTTGATTGTATACGATTTAGTTCAAACTCGGCGTGTTTCTCTTTCCTTTTTGAATTTCGACATATTTGCTTTCAACTTAAATATGTATAAAAATTGTAAAGATAGCTTGGTATGGATTTAAAGCCTTTCACAAGAAAAATCTCAAGTTTTTTATATTTTTCGTATACATGTATACGTGTATATATATAATTTAAAATGCCGCCCATAATCTAAACTGTACCTGAATACGTTTGTGTCTGTCTTTGGCGTTTTTATAAAATTCCCCAAAAAACAAAAAACAAAACAAAAAACAAAAAACAAAAAAAACTCATTCTTCGAATTGATTTCGGTCGTTAGTAATGAAATTTTGTTATTTATTAAAAATTTTAAATTTCAATTAACTTTAATGTAATCGCAAAGTGTCGCACGCGGTGAAATAACGCTACACACATTCACAACACAAAGAAAATCATACAGATTTGATCTTGGGATCTCGCGAACAGCGTTTAACATTAAAAGCTCAACTGCATATGGAATCTAAACTTTTCGTCACCTTTCAAGTCAAGGCAATATCCTAAAGAAAACCTCTTCTCTCCCGAATACTTTTAATGAAGTCTGTAATATGATAACTCTCCTGTTTTGAGACATGAGATTTGATTATGTTCTCAACGCCTTTTTGTCTCCCTCTCGTATATGAAAGTCTTCTCGATCATCGCTTTAGTTATAATCTTACTGACCATCGCCCTATCAGAGTTGGGCATTAGTAAGGAAATTATATTCGGACATAAATGAAATCTTCTTCTGTTATACGTACCACCTTCATCTTAATCAAAAATTATATAAGGGTTTTCAAGATTCTCTCCAAATGTCGCAAACGTCTTATCAAAATAAATACCCTCTCAGATCTTTTTTCCCTTTGCAAAGGGAAATCGCATCAGGGAAACAAAAATAGATAGGTTCAGAGTAAAGAACAAATGTTAAGAAACTCTTCATATACGGACATTAAACTAATCGCGAGATAAGGAAGAAAATTGTATTCATCGCAGGGAGGCATTGCGATCCTCACAGAAAGCAAAACAGTTTAACATATTTGGCTAATGGCAGGAATACTAACTAAGCCGGTCGACACACATAAATGGTTAAGTGATTGCGCCGGAAGCTTTACGCAAGCATCTGCCAAAGATTGTAAAACACGGCTTTACCTGAGACCCGTCGCTATTATCTTTTTACTTTGCCTGTGACGATCAACAGCGTTAATTAAAGAGTGCTAAGACTAAATTTCCTGTGATGAGTTCCTATAATGAATATTAGTTAAGCGTTATGCTATCGTTTGCGTGAAGCTATTTGGTTGCACTGTCCTCTCTATAACCGCACTCACGACGCGAAATGAAAAAGTTACACTCTATTTGAAAGTAAACAAGTGCTTGAAAGTCAGTTTCTTTTTAACTTTTAAAGGAAATGATCTGAAATTTGATGCAGATGTTAGTAAGGGTGTTTGCCATTCGTGTGAACCAATGACCCGACCCGTTTGGTTTAAAAAAGGGAAATAATCCTACTGTTTACTATTTACTATTTACTATCAGCGAAACTCTTAATAGTTTCTGATCATAGTGTTGTAGTAGATCGAGTTGAAGATTTTTCGACAGACTTGAAATTTTGTACTGACACCCGATGATGAGAGATGTTAAATGGATCTTCCCGAACTACTTGCAATTCAATTTCCATCTCTAAATGAATACACGGTGCGAGAAAAGCTTGTCTGGGCAGCCATAAGAAGTAGTAGAAAGGGACCCATAGGGGACGGGGAAATTCGCAACATTTCGATCATTGATTGAATGATGAAAATAAAACGTAATGTCATAAATAATAATAATATACGAGTTGATAACTGAAGGCGCCGATCTATATGACGGAATCGTTTATATGTTAATCTGGTAAGAATTCGTTGGAAAATTTGAGATTAAAAAACACCGCCAAGCAGTGATTTTAATAAATCGGTGGCAAAATGTCTCTAATGTATATATTCTGCAAGATCTCAAATTGTATTGTATTTGAAAGCATTATCAACATCTCATAAATATATATTCCCTGTGCAGTAAGCACTAAAGTAACAACTGTCTTGATGCACACAAAAGGCATGGGATTAAATTATATTAAAAAGCACGTGATGTCTTGTATGCACGAAGAAGACGAAGGGTAGAATAAGAGTGAGAAAGAGAGGCAAAGAAAAAAAAAAAGAATTATCAAGTCATTCTCGAATCATAAATGAGTCATAAACTCACATGCGAATCTAACACGCAAAAATTGACCAACAATTTTTGCTAAACGCTTAAGCATACACACACATATGTTTGTAAAAATTCTTCTCGATGACTTTTCCCCCTCTAAGTAAGTAAGTGGGTTTACTGCGTCATATAATTTTCTCCCTTCATAACGGTATAACTAGAAAATTTATTGTACACTTGAACTTACGAATACATACACGTACACAGCGTGTGTGCGCATAGACATGCAATTCCATGGCTTAGTTCTTTCTTTCTTTCGTCTTCTTGAAGTTTTCGTTGACTACATATTTATAATGACGTAATAAATGATGTTTCTCTCCTGTCTTTTTCATATGATTTTAAGGAATTTGTTTTTTTCTCCTTTTTTTTTTGCCCTACATCAGTTGCGCCCTACAAGGGTACATCAAGTTTGTGCGGATGCATGCGATGTCCAGATGAACTTGAAATAGATCCACCGACCAATTTAAAATCACTCTCTGAATTAATCTAATCTGTCTCTCTGTCCGTCTGTCCACAGTTTTCGAGAAGAGTGACCTGCTTAGGCCCACGAATGGTGAAGGCTCACTTTAACGCCGTAAGTGTCGAGTGGTGTAGGGTATTGAAAAGGTGGGCGGTGGGGTCGACTAAAGTCTCGTCACTTGGTTTTTCTCTTTTTAAATTATTGTCAACTTGTTCGAAATTTGTTTATTAAAATAGCACTGAATGTTCAAATTTATTGTAATCCGAGAATTGATGTTTATACATATGTGTATTTATATTTTATTAATATTACTATTATTACTAATATAAATATATTTTATTCATATATATATATATATACAAGTTGTATATTCTACATATAAACTTGTATGTTTAATACGTTGTGTAATGATTCAATTTTTTTTTTTTTTTTTTTTTTTTTTTCAAATTGTGACATATTTTCGAGAGTATTTAAATCATAAGTCCAAGGGATGTTTTTCAATGTATTTTTTGTTTTTCTTCTCGTACTTGCATATTTACATATACAAGCAAGATGCTTAATACGTGCCGTTTTTGGCCCCAAGGCGAGAAGGAATTAATGCTTGAGTAAGCAATAAAATTAATTTTTAAGCTTTTAGGTATAAAAGAAAATTGCTGGGTGGTCCCGCTCTTTGCTACTTCAGGCTTACTACTTGTTGTTTATTACCATTTGATAAAAATTCGGAGAAAATGTATTTATTCAAAGTGTAACTAACGGCTTTTTAATAATCACGCTACGGAAATTGTTTTTTGCCTACAAAACTGAGAACCGGCAAAGCATTGTACGACAAGTTCGCCTTGGAAAGATCAGGGTATAAATGAAGATAAATTTAAATTTAATTAGCAAAGACACTTACTTACCAACTTTTATAACAGCGCGCTGTAAATGCGCTAACAGAGCCTTGTTAAGCAGTTACGACTGGATGCATACCACGTCCAAAATTAGGAAGCGTAAGATACTGCTGCCCTAACTACCTATCCGTTACGGCATCCAGATAACTCTATTTAGAGGTTTCTGCTCAGCATCTCTGCTACTTAAACTTGAATTTCTCTTCATGCTCTTTAATATTGGCAAAGACGTCTAAAAAAAGTTTAGATCGAGAAACAAAACACTTTATATATGTAGCTATGTATTGGGCATTCTTCAAAAAATACAACACGTTTCGCTTCATAGTAAGATTTCCCTGAAAGGATTGACAATTGCACAGATAGAACTTTCTGTTGTTGCCATTGTGTGTGTGGAGTTCTGAACATAGCGTTCTCTTTGAAATTGTCCCAGCATCTAAGCAACCGATGAAAATCCATTTTGAAGCTGAATGTTCAAGTGTTGCCTCAAATCGTTTTTCCTCATCTCGATTCCTAAAATTGTGGTTCTAAGGACTGTTTGTCACTATTATGGGCATAATGATATGCGGATTACGATCATTTTGGAATTTCATATTTGAACAGCAACTAATTACGTGCTGGCACGTGGGGGCTGCAAAAGTGCAAATTTAAGCCAAAATTCGACATCGTGGCAGAAAGAGAAGTGATCGCATTCTTTCGAATCTAGGGCAATAAGTTGCGAATTTCCTATGCGTGATAGCTTTTATTAAAAAAGTAATAAGAAGAGTCTTCTTTTCTTTGGCTGAGAAGTTCTTGTTAATCAAACTTTAAATATTGCTTTGATTAGAAAGTTTTTTGTATATTTTTGTGCCCGAAGTGTTTAATCACTTCAAGTGAACCAAAGCCAACTTTAGTCTTAAAATTCATTTCTCTGGCTAAATTAAAAAGATACTACGCTTCGGAGTTCCCAGCACAGAGTACCGTTCTTAGTTCCTTTAAAAGTTCCCCGAATTTAATTATCCCATCTGTATCAAAAGAAGCCGATCAGAAGTTGATCACAGGCAATAGAAGCGGTGATTACTTCCGTGGCAACAGGCACGGCTCGAGCCTGAATATCACAAAGTGATAGTAAAGAAAAATGACCATTTTTCAACCATTTTTCGAGTTTTTTTTTTTGAATTTTTTACTATTTCCCAGGTCGAAGAGCTTTCATAGTTCTTGAACACGCAACTCTTGCCACGGGATCCAAATTTTCTATTGCCAGAAATTATATACATATATATAGTTTATTTTTTTTAAATGTAACCAATTACTCAGAGCATGCTTCCTATTTGTGTAACACGAAAAGCGAGAGATGGGGGAGGAGGTGGAGCAGTTGTCTAGTAGGTGTATGCCCAGCAACCGAGCAACTACGATACACTATGTACGAACGTTGACTTGGCAGGCGCGATTTTTACCTACACGCCAAGGTCTCAGTTGCATATTATCAGATGTTCTAAGTGGATAAAGTGGATCCTTCCACAAAGTCTTGATTCCTAATAAAAAAAATATTTCTGGAGTACTACAATAAAATCCTTAAAATTTGGGCAGATGTACTGCCGCTTAAAGGCTTATATTTTGAAAGAAACATTATATATGGTTCCATTCCAATCCAAATGCTTTACATTTGTATAATATGCTCAAATAGAATTTTTCAACCGATTTTTATCGGCAAATCTTAACAATTGAAAATTGTTTTCCTATATTGAAGACTTTTTCAAAATTCGGGCCTAAGAAGGAAAGTTGTCTGAAAAATGGTTCACCCGAAACTATTTGCGGTGGAGTTAGTCAGTGTTGGGAACAAGAAATCAAACACAGACATAAAAGTTCTCACTCGCGTTCTTTTTCGTACAACTTAATAGGAGATGAAAAAGTTTATATTTTTGATCGGTCGAATTGTATGGTATTTGAAAAGTTCCATCGTTAGGAAGCAAATTACTATAAATAACTTGATTGAAATCTGGGCAATATAATCGGGTCTCCTTTACTTACTGGCGGGTTATTTTACTTTTTTTTTGAATTTAGGATCTCTTGTACCCACCCCATCCATGCTCAATAATTTCTAAGATGCCTTATCATCTTTACTGGAGACACTTGGTATTTACCACGAAAAGGGCTATGAAATTTTCTGTTAACACCGAATTATTTCTTACCAACAATTGACAATTTAACTAAAATCGTAGGACATGACAATGTTTATCATAATTAAGGAGAAGGAAGTTTATGAGATGGCAAGCAAAGCTCGTGTTATTTAGAAGAATAGATAAGAAGAAAGAATTTTTATTAGAAAGAATTGTTAGCAGAGAGAGAGAGAGAGAGAGGGAATAAGACCATAGCAAAAGAAGGAATCAAAAGCAATAAAAGATTTGAAGTTTGTATGCAAAATATACCAATGTAAAGAAGCAATCTTTCGATTTTGCTTGGTATTGGTGGTGCCTGCCTTCCTTTAAATTATCGAACAATCACTCTTTTTATATATAATTGCAGTGAGAAACTTTAAATTAATTTTTTCGAAGAAAAGAAGGGAAAAAAATCAAACTTTTGAAAAATGCGTATTTCTCTTAAAGCAAAAAAAAAAAAAAAAATAAGAAGCTTTTAATAATTTGTATATATGTAACGGTAAATTTGGAGCATGCTCTTAAACGCTTAATAATGGAGTTTGTAAGAAGATAACAAAAAGATGCCTTAAGATGCCTGGCTCGCTTAAATGAATAAAAATAAAATAAAAGAATTACCTCCTTATGTGCTTATACGCCGCTCACACACACAAACGCACGCATAAACATACCAAACATTTACATGTGCATTTCAATTCTTTAACATATATATGCTATATGGCAATGCATTGCAGAAGTACGATGCAATCAACTTCGTCAACCACGTCCGTATGTGATGTAAGCATCAAAGACGTAAAACCAAATGAAATAAGGAGAAGAAGAAGATGAAAAAAAAAAAAAAAACAATAAAACTAAGAACATCTATCAATCATTACGAAAAAAAACAAAATAAAGTGTATGTTTGCAGATATTTGTGCGCCGCAGAGGTTTGATGACTATGCAGGATCGCCGTTTTTAGCACATGACGATAAAGATGTTTTCAGAGCGTTGATGCTGCTGATGACGACGTCGCTTGCCTGCAGTACGTTGTTCGCCAGCTTATGCGATTAAACAGTCAGGGATTTGCAGAAATTGCATATTAAACAAAAAAAAAAAAACAAAAAACAAAAATATGTTGCACATAACTCTAAAATTGTTTTGTAACATGTATAGATGATTTGAAACCGTTCTCAATAGCAGAGAAGTTGTTCGTTCACAAACAAAAATTGTTAATTTACAGTTTGTATGTATGTGTTATTAAAGAATAATATAGCCAGAGTACACAGAGAGAACAAGCGATATGCATAGTAAATTACGAACACACAAAACAACGCGCGCACCTTCAGTTAATTCAGTTAATTACATCAACTATCATCATAAGCGCGAAAACAACAAAAAAAAAACTTCAAGATCATCAAAACAACAAGGATAAGGAGATTTTACTTTGATCATAAAAAAACAGACAGTGCTACTAGTAGTAAAAAATTTGCACGCAACGCCACTCGCTCTTACTCTCGCTCTTCATTTCAATTCTCCCATATCTGTGTTTACTTTGTTTGATTATTTATTTCTTGGAAGAAATTGTATTAAGCCTTGATTTGCTTCTTTTTTTTTTTTTGTTTTCGTCATTTTTTCTCTTTTGCTCGTCTATAGTTTTTTTTTTTTATTTTTTTTATTTTTTTTTTATAGCCATTCACACTTTCTACACATTTTATAATTTTAGTTAATTAATTTTACAAATCCTTTGTAATAATTTTTCAACATTGTTTAAAGGAAACAAAAAAAAAAAAATTGTTTTTTTTATTTAAAATTTAAAAAAAAAAGAAAAAAAAAAAAAAAAAGAACTATTTTTATTTTTATTCATTTATTTTAGTTTATTTGAAATATTTTTTCAAATAATTATCCGTTGAACTCAACCTTCATCTTTGAAAGCGATAATAAAAGTATTCGTGATTCCGATTCCTTGTGATGATTGTGTGATTTATAGAAACAAGAGACGCACCACCACCAAACATCACTACACAAACAAACAGCTTACAACAAATTTTTTGCTTGCTATAACACAACCGATTGCCAATCCAACTAAGCCACCATCCACCATCACCGTCATCATCGTCTACATCATCATCATCATCATCATATACCGCATGCAGAAGAAGAATGAAGGGGTAAGATCAAACCAATTGTTCTTTAAACGACAATGAAACATTTGTTTAACCGATCATACTTGCGAGAAGAGTTGCCATAACTTCTATGTTGAATATTTTAATTCTCTCATAATCGCATATTCAGAATCTTTCCGAAACTTTCATAATTCATAACAATATAGCATGGATTTCCTCTCTAAGACGCCCTTCGAACGTAGTCCAATATAAATCGGAATTCGTGATCTTCGATTATTGTTAAAGTCCTTTTGTAATTAAATTCGTACCGCTGAGTTATGATTTCTTTTTTAATTCTTAAAACCCCCTTTTTTTTGCACGACCTTCTATTTAAACCCTTCAACTCCCTTTCCGATCTTTCCCGGTCGAATATTACATTTTATATATATCTCTTCACTCGCTTCCTACTGACTTTGCTTTTCGCAAATACTCTGTTCATTATCCCCTTTCATCCTCTAGCAATCGTTACCGTTACCTACATTCATCGCGACATTTTTAATCCGTTAAACCATCAAATCATTTTTTTGCCAACTTTGCTGCCAATTCTTGTTACTCTTTTCGCCAGTTGGTGTATGCAGGTACGCGCGACGGACATGCACTTGGCTCTCTCTTTTCTGTGCAACCTTGTTTCTATAGGGTTTCTTTTTACTTCTTCCAATTTTTTTAAAAATTTTTCTAAATTATTCCGTGTACTTCCAGTCCATGGAACAATGAATTAAATAAGTTTGTAAACCCCAAGTATAAATCATACCGTGTGGGGAGTAAAAATTAATGCCTTTGCAGTTTTTTTTTTTTTTTTTCGATTATAAAAACATTGCAGGAATATATTTTCGAATCAAATTACATAAGTTTTTTTTTTATCCTTATACTTTACAGTTTATATTAAAAGGAGGAAAGTTTTTACGAAATTCATAAGGATTTGTCTTCAATATCTTTTGGATTTAATAATAGAAGAAGACTGTAAGGAAACAAGAACTGCTTCGTCAGTTTGATTCGATTTATAAACCTATTCCGAACATCCATCCATCACAGAGACGTCAACTGTACGATTTCACAAACCAGTTTTTTAATAAAACTTATAATAGCTCCTCCGGAATACCAGAACACTGGTTAGTAAGCGATCAAAACACCACAATATATAGCTTCGAACTAGGTTCGGCAACCAAGCCGTAAAGTAGGTTGTCAAAAAAGAAAATTAAAAAATCGCATCCAAAAAATTGAAAAGAGGTCGTTAGTCTACAACTAAAAGTCTTGCTCCAGGAGAAGGTAAAAGCGGTTACGTTTTCTTCGATTTCGATTATATTTCTCACGTTTACTGAAATTATTTTATTTTACTAAAGTAAAATAAATACATTTTGAAATTTAAATTCCAGTTAAAAGAAAATTTAATTCATTTGCATTTAATGCATGAAATAAGCGAAATAAGTTGATCTTTATTTATGTGATGTGTCGACAACCCTGCTCAAGTCGGGCTTACAGCACAAGTTTTTTTTTTTTGAAATATGGATCAAACATTTCGTTCGAAGTCGAACATGTGCCAACATAACAACAACTTGCAACCAGGTGTGCTAAATGGCTGCAGCGCGTTCACCATAAAATACGAGGATGAATTGCCTTAAGAGCCTGGACAGATGGTCTTTGAATTATTTTCAATTGTAAACAAATACAGACGCTTGCTCTCAGACATGACCAAATTGGTTTTGAATTGCTCCCATAGATGACCAAATTCATAGCCGTTTTTTCGAGGCAACAGCCGTTAACAAATACAGAATTTCCACATGGCCATCTAGGCCGCGTAGGTCTGTACGATAGTCGAACATGCAGTAGATAGATGTTAAACAATCTAATCGGCATATTGATTCTAATAAAGATTTAAATTTTTATTAAAATAATTGCAAAAACTTTAATATTTTTATGTAACCCTTTGAAAAGTGAATCAAGTACTCGACTCACTTCTTATGAGAAAGGTTTCGTAACGCAACAGAACGCTTCTTCGTTTCTTCCTTTGCGTTTTTTCTTATTTTTTTTTTCTTTCCTGTCCATATATTTAAAGAGAGCAAGAACTATGATGTGAACTTCGCCTCTTGCGATAGTCATAGTTTATCTCAACTATCTCTTGCAATCTTGAAAGAGGGAAATATTTTCAAAAATATTGTTCCGACCAGAAAAAAAGCCCCACTTGGGATGTGTACACTCCTCCGTTAAAAAATTCTGTTCACCTTAATATAAGCATTGGTTTATGGGAAAATCGACGAAAATGTAAAGCTTGCTGACGAACTGCATGCATTACACCTGTGCTTCTGACATACGAAATCAATTTAGAAGAGTAAGAGAAAGGGTGAAAGAGACAAAGCATTGAAAACATTTTGCAATTATTTGCCAAATTTTATTACATATCCTTACGCTAAGGAACTTCATGCAGTTTATGTCTTCATTTACACTTATCGGGAGTGTATCTATTCTTTCTAAGCGGAAGAAGGAAAAGAAATTAAATTTTTGCTGTACCTAGAAGTGCAGGAAAGGACATGGACGGATTCGCTTTTTAAAGAAAGCGACGCAGCAAACCTTATGGAAGATTAAATCTATCTTTCTGCATCTCCTGCATTCCTTCAAAATATGTATGTTTGGTTCGTTAATGTGTTCGCGTCCGATATCTCAACTAAGCTAAAGCAACAATTCTTATCATATGGTGTATGCATCCAGTTTGGCCGAATGTGTGCAACATAGCGAAGGGCTTTTTACACATGTCACCAGTCGTACAGTACAGTAGTTAGTAGCAGTAAGCAGACTTGAGATATACCAGCTTCTTATTCTATCTGTACAGATCCCAATTTCGGAGATAGTTTCATAAAATTGGAAACTATAGAATCGAACGTCTCTCGTGACCAGTCATAATAATAATAGCTATACATTAGTTCAAATTATTTTAGATAGTTGTAGCAGTGCAACGACTAAGAGGTCAAACTTGGGTAAAAAATCTATAGTAGAAGAATGAATGGAAGGCCGGAAGAAATTTCATTTGCTCAGGTTCTTTTCTGACCTGACTTTCCAATTACAGTTAAATGACTACAAATGATTTCAATAAAATTTGAATGAGTGCGTAACATAAAGTGTGCATACTGTTGTGGTTGCTAAGGGTATTTTTCTTCATCTAGCTTTATATTCATGCATATATGCGTACAGAATAAGACCCAATATACGGCTTCAGTGAAATATTTTAATGTTTGTTGCATTTGTTAGATTCTACGAAGAACGGTTTTGCAGATCAGGTACACAAACACATATATAATTGTTAATACTTTAACGTATGGATAAGAAGTCGCACAGTTGTCTGGTCTGGTCAAGAGAGAGCCTAAGGCACGAGTTTTGCTTAGTGAATGTAGTAGAAGACCCGAAGAACATGGAATAGAGACAAAAAAAAAAGAAAAATGATGGCAAATAAATGCCAAAGGACATACACACACATATGTGTATTCGTATATAATATATATAAATGTATTATTCTATAGACATCTGTTGTTGTATTTGTATTTGTATTTGGTAGGATATCTTTTGCTTACTTAATTGAAAACCATTATGAACGGACGAAATCGTTTTTTAATTCTGTTTCTCGTCGTCGCAAGTAAAGTAA